GTATAAGAGACAGCTGCCGGGGCTGTCAGCGAGCAGCCAGGCCCCGGGCTCGGCAATCCCTCCCTGCCATCTTCCTGTAGTTCTGCGGGCAGTTGGCTGGAGGTTGACTGTCACTTCGCCTTTAACCCCCTCGTGGAAAATAATTGTGGCCATGGCATCAAATCCCAGAGCTCCTCAGCAGCCCTTCAGGTGCTCTGCTGTGCTGAGAACAATCTCTGCTCTCGAGGGTCTCAAGCCTGGCACAGACAAAGACGTGGCAGCCGCGTCTCTAGCGCCAAGAGCGCAGCAGGCAGAGAGCTGGGAGCGAGGGGAGGAAGCTATTAGAAAAATAGTTGTTCGTTTCCTGTTAATGGTTTATTCCAAGCCAGAAGGCTCTGCTGGCAGGTGGACTGCTGCAGTTCACAGCTCTGGGCTTTCTCTGGAAATACCCACATTTAAACTCTTTGCTAAATCTTGAGAACTTGGCAGCGCAGGGTTTGCAGCTTGCGATTGTTAAAACGGGCTGTTTTCCTAGTACTTTGTCCTTAACCTCCCCCCATATTTTTAAAATAACCACATCTTGTCTTTCATAGGCCTTTCAGAAATATTGGGGGTCAGGTAGTGTAACTGACTTGCTTTTGCTCAGGCTGTTCTACTGTATTCTTCATCGTTAGTAAAGTTTATTTGTGGAGTAAGATTTGAGCCTTCAACTGGTCTTTTGTATGTGAATTTTGTACACCTTATATTTGTTATTCATGATTATGTTAATTATTAAAATCATCCTATGTATTCTGTCGTGTGCTTTGTTTACTTTTTTAGTGTTTGTGTGACTATGTATACTGGAGTATTTGTTTAGTCAGCTATATTTGAGCTATTTTTTTAACTGATGGCAACCTTTGTGTGTTTTTCTAAAAAAAAAAATGGATGCATGTTTTTGTTGTTTTAACTGGCTTGCAGTGTCTGAAAATTGCTTTTAGTTGAGTCAAACTATAGCCAAGAAAAACTCATTCTGGCCAAGATGTATTTGCTTGTCCAGACACTGGAATTTCATGATTGAAATCTGTGTCTCCTACGTACGCTGCGCAGTCAAATTTGATGAGGTGGCAGGAGACTGTAAAAGCAAAGGTGACATGACTCGACTAAACTTTGCTAAATTTGATACTGCTTGTGGTTGGTATTCTTGGAGCCTGAGCCAGCGTACAAACCCTGGGCTCTGTGGTGTTCGACCACGACAGAGGATTTTACCGTTTTCCTGGCTGGACGTAAGCGCTTTGCGTGGACTCCTTAATGTTTCTTTTGCAATGAACAACTTTTACACTTTATTTTATGAAATATAACGGATAAAAAGATAATGTTGTGAAGCTCCCAGACTTCACTGAGAGGTGTCACTCAAGGTAGACTGCAAAACAGGTTCCTGTCTTCTGCACTGCTCAGTAGAGCATATAATTAACTGCTGTAACATTTGACACCTCATGAGAGTCTTTGGGTGAGCTCATACTTCTCTGGCTATGAGAGATATGTTCTAGGCTTGGGCAATTTTTGCTGTGTTATTTGTATTTTTTTGGCTTGCACTCTTTGAGGCTGCCTTCCTCCTGAGGAGCTCAGGGTTGGGTGGGGTTTTTTTTTTAGCACCAGAGTTCATACTGTGAAGCACAAGGTGGAAACTGGAGTCAGTTATGACTACCCCATCCTGCTACATTTCATATGAAAGTCCTCTTGGACTGAGAGTTTGCATTAGTAAATATATCAGAGTGCTTACCACTGTTATGTTTTCACATAGAAATAGCAACAGCAGCAAGGATGATGCATTAACGCAGCATCATTTGCGTTAGCACAGTCAGCTCTCAGCCCTGGTCTTTGCAGTGTGTTGTGGATACGAAGTTGAGGTTCCTGGCATCTCTGTGACATACTGATTTTTGTGTGGATCTGTTTTAGGAGAATGTGTTTATTGGTCAATCCAAAATCTACAGCTACCTGAATCCTAACAAAGCTCCTGGTGCTCGCCCCCCACTTCAAGAGGAAAACTCTGTCATGTATCACGAGGTGAAATGTCAGGGCAAAACACTAAACGAAACCTACAGGAAAGGAGACGGTAAGATTGGTGTTTGGAATGCTTGACTCATTAAATGTGCTCCCCACCACCCCCAGGTTGGAAACTTTAACCCACAGTCAGGAAGGCCAGACAGCTCTTCTGGCCCAGTTGCTTTCCCAATCCTACAGCTCCATTGGCTAGCTGGAACTCTACAAAGATGAGGGTGTCCTTATCCTTTTCAAAACTTAAGTCACATGTTTACAGGCAATTTTCCCTCTGTTTTTTGCTTGACTTATGTTTGTACTGTCTCTCTGGATATAGAAATCTAATGCTTGTGTTGTCCATATGCCCTAATCTCACTGCAGTTTCTTCAGGACAGTGTTTGGCAGTTTATCTAATTTGGGGGCAGGGATGTGTCTCTGTTTTACTACCTACAATTATTACTAATAATTACCAAATAATTCTATAATTCACCTACTTTATACAAATTTATATAAAGGCAATTCAAAGTCAAATCAGTTATGAGGTAGAGGTACTGAAAACAAGACTAAGAAACAATTCTCCAATTTTCTGGATGAAATAAAGGCAATGAGAAGGAGGAGCACACACTGTGGATGCTGGGTGCCAGGCTTCATAGATGCTTCATGGTAGTGTCTAGAAATGGGAATGCTTCATGGGTTTGTGGAGGGGAAAAATCACCTCACTGCCTCGTGTTTAAAGGTGCATTTAATAACCTTGGTAACTTGTCAAATCATTCTGATGTAAACACTTGTAAGTCCCACTCAACACAAGGCGTGTCAGGTTTTCTGGAAATTTAGGGCCTTTAGCTCCTAATTTAGCTCCTCAGTTTTGACAAGAAAGTGAAGGCTTTAGCTTGTCTCACTGCTGTGGCCTTGCAGCTGTGCTTCATTTCTCCAGTGAGATTGAAGCATCTGTCTCAGCAGATGGGATTGTTAAACCTGGTGATTTACTTTTAAATAAAAAACTTCATTCAACTTTAAGCCATGCTTACCCACCTCTAAATCAGTTAACTGAGGAGGAGGATGTGGTCTTATCAAGGTAGGGTGCATGCAACCAAGAAAATGTTGGGTGTGGGTGTGTGTAGCCTTTTTGTAAGTCCCAGCCCTTTAGCTGGTGTGGATTTTGTCTGAGTGGTGTTAGCTGCTTGGTAGCAGCACCTGATAACAGCAGTGCAGGATCCAGAGGGGCTTCCTGTCCCTCCTCAGTGCAGGATGTTGATTAGCTTATGGCAACTTGATAATTTAGTAGGCCAGATGCAAACTGTGCACTTGTCTCAAACACTGCACTGAAGGTGCTGCATGTTCAGGTCTGGAAAACTCTGAGTTGCAAACCTTATGTGACAAAGTACTTGGGCTCTGTTTTACCCTTTCCCTTTCTCTGCTCACCCTTCCCTCTGTACTGTGTGTACTGTAGCAATGACTACTCAAAAGTTGAGTAACAGCCTATCTGGGTTCTAGCAGAGAGACTGTATCATTCCCTTCCTCTTTCTCCTGTTTGACAGAACTAGAAACTTGGACTAGAAATCACTGGAATTCATTTAAAGCACAATGCTATAGTTGATCCTAAATTCAGAGCCTTACTTTATTTTCCTGTCACCAGAAAAAAAGAATGGTGGCAATATAATTGAAGGTGCTATGAAACCAGAAGACCAGAAAGATAAAGAAGGTGGATGCAATACTTTGGTGCCCTCCTCTGATCAAAACCAAGAAACTGTAGAAACCCAAAAGACGCCCCTGCCTTCAGACTGTGCTGATGAGGTCAATGCAAAGCCAGCTCAGAAGAAGATGGTTAAAGCAAAACGTGGACCAAGGAGAAAGTAAGTGACTGCTGGAATTGTAGAAGCCTTGCCTCTGTGTGTCCCTTTGTACCAGGAGCCTTTAATCTGCATTTTTTCCTTCAGGGACTACAGTCAGACCTGTAATTAATGTTACTCTTTGTGTTGTTTCCTTTTTGTAAGTAAATGGTTGTGTTGGAGGGAACAAATATTAAAGGAGACTTCTTTGGGCTTTTTAAGAATAGTATGTTTGGAAATATGAAATAGCACCCAAAGTATTTATCAGCCTTGCAAAGGACTTTTGTTTCCTTGAAAGCAAGGCTAGTGTATTTTCTCTCAAGTGAAATACTTGCAGATGACCTATAGAAAAATAAATTAATGATCCCTCAAGACCTACCTTTCTGTGGACAAATGGGAATGTATCTTGTCAGAAACAGAATATTAGATTAATTACAGTTGGAGGCTTCCTGGCCAAGCTGATACTCTTTCTCGTGATATCGGAGTAATGTGACCCTAACATTAATGAATTCCTTGCCGAGCAGTTTTCATGACCTAAATTTTAGAGTGCCTGCTGTCAGGGCACACAGAGGGCTTCAGACTTGTAATGTGACCTTCAGTTGGTTTCCAATGGCATCACATTCTTACTGTTGAAGAATTAGTATTAGAGTAATGGAAATAGTGCGGGGAAGAAAAGGGGATGTAGCTTTTGGCTTGAAGTGACAAGTGCTAATAAGAAACACTGTTTCATATCTATCACCTTTCAACATATCAAGCTGAAAATAAAAATTCCTTACAGATACCTCTTTCCTAGACATGTAACTTCACAAATAGTCTGAAATATGTGTGTTCTCTATTATTCTTACTCCTTAGAACACAAGGAAGAACACCAAATCGAAAAGTGACAGATTATTACCCAGTCAGAAGAAGTTCCAGGAAGAGCAAATCTGAATTGGAGGTAGCACTTCTTGTTAAAATAACATTGCTTCTAACGTTGCTGGTTAATTGCACATTTGAGGAAGTGTGTAACTTTCTGTGAATGGTTTCCACTGGCCAAATACAAACAGCATTGTGCACTGGAAGTATTGTTACAAACATGCTTAAAATTTGGAAATGCTGATCCAGTTCTTCAAGGACAGAATTGAGCTCCTCATATATTTTGAGGAGCTGAAATCTTGTCTCTAACATTCAGTTTTGCTAGAAATTTGGGATGGCTTGCAAAAATGAGTGTCACTGGCTAATAATTTCCTTTCAGCTACAGAATAAGCTACAAAAACTATCAACAATACTGTGGTTTTGTTCTTGTTTCTCCTGCAGACAGAGGAGAGGAGGAAAATAGATGAGCTAATTACAAGTGGGAAAGAAGAAGGAATGAAGGTAACTGCTATGTGAACCTGAGTAGCCACGTTATACAGTATCTTGCTGTTAATTTAAGCAGAAGATAGCAGAACTTGGTGTCAGAACTGCTGCAGTTCCTTGAGAGTAAGATGAAAGTGCAGCAAAACTGTAACACACTTGTCTGTCTCTTTGATGGGCAATATTTGGCTCTGAAGAATATGTATGTGCAGCCTCAGTCATAAACATTGAGGGGGCTTGATGGTCTTTACTGAAAATGCACTTATCTCCCTTCAGTATCTCATTTCTTGGGTTAGCTCCCAGAAATGGGGTTAGATATAGCATCTTAACTCTTAGGTTTGAAAGGTAATACCCATATATACTGTCTGTAGGGTAACAAATTCTCTGAGCCTGTTTACAGCCAGTCGCTGTGGGTCTTCATTATGGTGCTTAGGATAATGGGTTGTGCTGGTTTTCTTCCCACTGCTAGCATATGCTGGTTATTGGGACCAAGTGCTTACCACTTGGGTTACTTGGATCACCCTTTTCAGAATTTAAAGCAGAAGTAGCTCCTGGAAGTGCAGAAGAGCTGTGATTCTTGAAAAGCAGCAGCCTGCAGTTAATGCTGTCGCATCTGCAACAGTGATAGGAAACTGTCTTGGAGTTGTCCAATTTACAGGGGGAGGCAGGAATAATAAAGCATACTGGTGGCTGATAAATGTAATTTCTGTGCTTGATCTTTCTGTTCCTTTAACTTTTTGTCCTGTGCATGCTAATGGTGGTGGTGCACCTGAAATGGAAAAGGTTACTGCCTCAGCTAATAGGTGGTTTGAAAGAAAAAGTGGGTAACTCTTCTCTGTGTGGGGTTTATTTAAAGTAAGTCCTAGTTCTTTGATTAGAAGACTATCGAAATACCTGGTAACTCGAGGTGTGTCCCAAACTCATCCTCTTATTTCTTCCACAGTGCTCTGCATTGTGCTTCTACAGTTTTGTCTGCAATACACACAAATGTCCTGCTGCAGCATTTTTTAATGACAAATCACTCATTTCCTAGTAAACAGCTTATTTGCAGTCATGTAAATACTTTTTAATTTCCCAGATGATTTTCTCAACAGATTGATTACATCGATGGCAAAGGGAGAGGAGTAATTGCTACTAAGCATTTTAATCGAGGAGAATTTGTAGTTGAATATCATGGGGATCTCATAGAGATCACTGATGCTAAAAAGCGAGAAGCTGTGTATGCTCAAGATCCATCCACAGGCTGCTATATGTACTATTTTCAGTACCTCAGCAAAACGTACTGGTAAGCTTCTCTTCCCTTAAGTGTGATAATTGAGTGATAGAAGCTCTGAATGCTGTGAATTCTTGTCTTGGTTTCATACAAAATTTTTTTTAATGGGAACCAGGAATTGGGAAATTTTTTTGGAGCACTGTTTCATGGTCCAAGAGCCTCCTGTACCTCTGGGCTAAAAGGAATGGTAGGGGACACAAAGCCCTGTTCTCTGAAGTACAGCACAAGCTATATGGATTGTTGTATCTGCTTGGGTGAGACTTCCAGCTCTGCCACGGATGCAGATGGCAACAGGCAGCTCAAAAACATAGTCCAAAGTTTTCTGGGTTCTAAGCTAATTTAAAAATCTCTCAGAATGGTTTTAGTTTACCTACATTGCCATGTTATGTGCTGTCTGTTTAATCATATGAATATTCTGTAATGTTCTGGTTTTCCTTCATTTTTCAAGCCTTGTCTGGATCCCTCGTTCTTTATCTGATTTTTGTGCTTTGTTTTTTTGTCCGCAAACATGACTGCGTGATATGCAGCAATCCTGCATTCTGTTCTTGTTCTTTTCAGTGTTGATGCTACAAAAGAAACGAATCGTTTGGGAAGACTGATTAATCACAGCAAATGTGGCAATTGTCAAACAAAGCTTCATGACATCGATGGTGTGCCTCATCTCATATTGATAGCTTCCAGAGACATTAAAGCAGGTGAAGAACTGTTGTACGACTATGGAGACAGAAGCAAAGCTTCCATTGAAGCTCATCCATGGCTGAAACACTAATTCATCTTCTTTGTTTGGGGTGATTTTTTTTTTGGGGGGGGGAGGGAGGGACTGAGTGCTCTCCAAGGAGTCAGTGGATTTTTTTTTTTCCTGTCCTCACTTCCCTCAGCTTTCTTAGTGGACTGCATATGGTGTTTTGAGCTCCTTAAAAACTACCTTTTTGCTTTGCAGTATTTAAATACTTATTACAGTTTTCCAGGCAGGCTTGAATAATTGATCTTAGATTGCCAAAACTTTTGTATCATGAAAGAAAACCCTCCCTAAAATTTGACTACTCCTGCATAGTGACCAGTGCCACTTGAGCATGCAGTCAAAGACTCGCACAAAAATTTAATCACTTGGGTTGTGCTTCTGCTTTTGCAATGAAATCTCACACTCCACCTTGTGGGATGATGAACTTGGCATTAGCTTTATGATAGCAGATGTACTTCTGTACTCTTGACTTGTACATCCAGTGGCTTGACTGCTTGTCAGACGGCTTTTTATGACCAAGTGCTGACAGGCTTCTCTGAGGTGGATGCTACTTATCATTCTCAAATAATTTGTGGTAGGGATCCAGTTCTTCCAGTGTCCTATCTCATGTTGGCAATGAACTTTAAATGCACTGACACTGAGGGAAATGGATGGTCACATTGGCTGCTTTCTTCACAGAAATGACTCCAAGCCAAATGAGGATGGATTTTTGATAGGCTGGGTTGAAACCGATTAGAATGGTGAAGATAGACCGTCACAGTGAGAATCAATGTTTGACATTACTTATTTTCTAAAATTTAAGATGGTACCTTTTTGTAGTTGATGGGTGATTCTTGGAGGTGTCTCCCAGAGGATTTTAAAGAATTAAAAGAAAAAGCACTCTCCAAAATCTTTTTATTATCTTCCTATGCTAATTAGCCACGTCAGAAGCTATTTATTTACTGTGAATGCTTGAAGTAGAGCATAGCAGTTCCAAAAACAGGAGTCATCTTCATATGCAGCTTCCAACTGTAATGATGGAGTTCATGCAATGAAGAAAGTAGATTCCTTATTGCCTGGTCCTGTAGGTCTGTCCAGCGTGGTCTGGTCCCACTGTCTTCGATGGGAGCCGAGTGCTGAGCATCTTGCAGATGTTTGTAACGTTACTGTTGGAGAACCAAATCTGTGATATAGGCGGGCAATACAATGCAGGTCCTTTATGTTAAAGATGAATTCTTACCAGTTGGGATTTTTGCCAAGGCAGGCTTGGCACGTGTGTAGATGCAAATGGCTGTGAGCCGTCAGCCACGCTTGCTGCTGGAAGATGTCAGCAAGGGATCTGTGGCTCTCTTAATGTCTTCTGTTCCTCATGTCTTGAAGGCTGCTGCTGTTCCAGCTAGTGCCCTCTAGGACAATCTTATGTGCTTGCCTATATGATAGGTCAAATAGCAACACCATCCTGGTTGTATGCTCCAGCAGCAAGAGAGGTGGCTTAGTGATGTATTTTTTAAATTAAAAACTTGAAGACAATGTCTCTGTAAAATAAAGAATATATTTATTATTGATGAAGTGGCTGCTATAGTACCTGTCTCCATTGCAGATCATGAGCATTTTGAAAGAAAGCTGTGAAAATCATTAGCCGTTAAATGCTTTATATTATTTACTACTTAACACAAGGCGAGCTCATCGGAGTCAGCCTGTGTATTTTTACCATTTCTGAAGAATTAACTGGAGACCTGTTACCTTACATGTACTGAGTTACAGGTAAGCTTCTTTGGCTGACTTATTTAAGTTGACACTGATTTTTCTCTGGTCTCAGTAATAGAGACTACAGCAGTGTACAGTATCCTGTTTTACTAGAGTACTTCCTTAAGTCAAAATTGGAATAAAGTGCTTCTTTTTGTATTTTATTTAAATATTTGCTTGTTCTCTATCAGGTCAAATAGCTTAAAACCTCTGTTCTTCCGCATCACTTTTGTAAACAAGAAAGGGGGAAAATCTCTTCCTTATTTTACATAAAAATTGTTTTCTCTGAAATGCTTAACTGGTAATCAAGTAGCACTGCATCAGAAGATGGTAATAAAGCTGATGTTGCACTGAGTATGTATCCTTTACTTTTCTAGGAACTTATATATATATATGTATATGTATATATATATATATATATACACACACACATATATACATCTGTATCTATATATCTCAAAATACTTTTCACAGAAACATGCCATTTGGATTTTTATCTCTGTGCCTTACAGGAAGGTTTCATCTTCTAACAAGGTGTAAAGCACTTAACAGGGAAGGATGCTTTTGGGCTGGGAGATGAACTGCTGTCCTCAGGCTCCTGTGGCTTTGCCAGAGGTGGTAGGTTGCTCTGACAGGACTGTGGCCTCCTCTGTGGCAGCCATAGCCAAGGATTTCATTCCCCTTTTGAGAGAGAAGCTGTGCAGCTCACTTGGCACCAGAGTGGCTGCAATTGTGATGGTTCCAGAAAGGGTAGCCCAAAAAGGTTGAGGTGCTCTCCTGTCTACTTTTAACTGGTGAACTCCCGTTTTTTTTTAATGAAGAACATCTTCAATGCTGAACTGAAAAGAATTGCAGTTTTCATGGTTGCTGTCTTCAACTAACTGCGAAGAGTAGCCTAGGGCTATGTTAGAGTCTTCTGTGCCTCCATGGCAGGCTGTTACCTCTGCACAGCTCTGTTTAATTTCTGCAGTTCATTACCTGAAGTTGTTTCATTAAGACTTGGTAGCGTGATTAGTGTGTTTTGAGGCATGATTTTCCACTCCTTTTTAAAGGAGGTAGGAAAATACATCCCTGGATAGAACACAGAAGAGGATGTTGTTCAGAGCACACAAACATGTTTTCAGCTTGGAGGTGCAGCCTGGCTGTTGCTGATGCATGACTGGTTTTGGTTGAATTTTATTTTTTTTTTCCTCTAAACACAAAGCCTCTGCTAAGGAAATGCAGTAACTTCCTTCCCTGCTACCATGCTCTAGAAAATACAGCGTGGGGACATGGCCAAGGCTTATTAAGATTTTTGAAGAAGGCAAGATAGCAGTTTTGTGCTCTGGCTGAACCAACTTGCTTAGGCCAGATGTTGTTGATGTTGCCTTGCTAACATAAGAGTTGCTAACAAATTCTCTCTGAAAGGAGACTGCAGTTCTGCCTTCTGCTAAGTCACATTTGCATTGTGCATCTGAGCAGATGTGGGAAGTGTCCTATATTTTTCATGCTGCTGGTTTGTGAGAGGGAATCAAAAGATTTCAGAGCCTGCTTTCACTTCTGAGGAGAGTAAGATCATAGTTTGATACCTGTCACTGCTCTTTTTATGTCTGTTCAGACCTTTCTGCTCTAAAAATTCTACTTTTCTAAATGTGGAACGTAATTGTTATCTTTCAAGCTTCTTTTTCTACTCCTCTGTTTGCCCTATATGCTTTCACTAGTGATAAATCTCATTACTGGGGCTAATACACGGCTTGTGACAGTTGATTGAAAGAAGAGAGCTTATGAAAAATACAACTGTCTACCACAGGAGACCTTTAGCTGTCAGAAATGAAATGTTTGGTGCATCTGTTCCAGTCTGAGCATGTCTGCACCTCTGAAAAGACATCAGTCCTTTGCCTGAGCAGAGCACGAGGCAGCAGCTGTGCCCTTCTCCCCCATCTTTCATCTCAACCCCAAGCAGCCACTCCTGGGCCCTACTTGCCTCTGTGTTGCCCATCTCACAGAATAAAAAGCAGTGCTGGGTGTTTTTTCAAGTGGTTCTGTGTTAGTGTAAGATAATTTTATGTTTTGTGGAAGGGCAGCAGAGACTGCAGTCTGAACCGGTCCTTCCTTTCCCTTCTGTCTGAAGGCACTTGTGAGTGGCGTGTAGCTCTTCAAAATATCTTCATCTCGCAAAATCAGTTGGGCCAAGCGTTTTGATAGGTGGACAGGATAAATAAGTGGTAGTACAGATCGTCACAGGCTCTTTTAATAAGAGTAAAACCCACCTCTGTATAAAATATTTATTTTCTACATGTGGGTAATGTGGCAGGAATCTAAGAAATACAAAGTGTCTGAAACAGTTTCTAAAAAGCAAAATAAAATCTATTCTGAAAGAATATTATACAACACACTTTTTTTATGAGATTGCTTATTCTCTACAGTAGAAGTGATGCTTTTTCTTCCATCAGCGAGTCCCCTACCACCTGAGAGACTCCTCAGGGCCATGTCTGGAGTGGTTCAGCTCCCAAGGATGCTCATTTTCCATGCTTAAAAGAGAACCTAAAAAAAACACCAAACCAATAAGGAAACAATGTACAACTGGAAAAGAAAGAGCATGCAGCAGGATGGCTGTGTCACTGTGTTCTGCTATTTTGGGGAACTTGAGGGACGCAGCCTGAGCCTGCGGGTACTGCCTACAGCTGCTTCACACAATGTGAACAAGCCCCCAGGGACAGCCGGCGTGTTCCCACAGCAAAGTCTCAACGTGCTAGCAGGGGAGGCAAGCAGTGCATAGTTTTGCTCTGAAATGCTTGTTTTTCCTAGAAACAAAGCAAAGCCCTGCTTGCCTGGGTGGAGGTTGCCTTCCTGTGGAGTGCTTTTTCCACAGGAATAGAAGGAGTTCTCCATCAGGTTTTAATTTTACAGGGAGAGGAGGAGAAAACAATGCCCAGCCAGCTAGGCTAGGTTCAGCATTCATCCCTGAATTCACAAAGTACGGAGTGTGCCCTGTTCTGCCAAAAAAGATGCAAACTTACAGCCGTTTGATGATTGTCTTCTCTTCGCTGTCCTTGCTGGTGCCAGGGCTGCTGCCTCTGGCTTCTTTTTCCAGTTCTTCAGTTTGGTCCCTTCTCTGTGAGATGATCCCACTGGGAAGAGAAGAGACTTTTGTTCATTTTTTGTGGTTTTGTGCATAGTGTGGCACTGCGTATGTTAAAGCCTTCACTGGGCAGCCTAGGATGTGGGTGAAAGGCCGTTCACAGGACAGGGATGGCAGCCTGGCCTCTTTCTTGCAATGAATTGCCCTTTTTTTCCTTAAATGCTGCGGTGTAGTTTTACTTAGGCTGTGCTTTAATGAGAACACTAAAAAAGTAACAAGCTGACTTCTCCCGAGAGGAAGAATGGCAAATTATAACGGGAGTGAAAGAGAAGTGTAATTAGACGTTGGATTTGTACAGAAGTCCGAAGATAACAGCAGGGTGAAGGCACAAGTGGTAAATTTCTGCATGGGTGAGTCTGTGGTACTTTCAGCACAGCCACGAAGGCTCACGCCGTGCAGCTGGGGACAGATGGGAGATTCCCAGCTTCCCTGCGAGGCAGGCGGCTGTTCCTCCTTCCATCCCAGAGAGGAGAAAAGAAAGTCTTTGAGCTGTAGATTTTCTCAGCTCCCTTCGATGCTGCTACACTCTACAAGGCTGTAACCGCCTACTGCAGGCAAAAGCTTCGGTTTGACTAAAGGATGTTTCCCCTGCTTGGAATCGAGTTAGATTTTACCAGCTTGCATACTACACTGTTTTTTCACAGCACGCCAATATCCTGTCCTGAGCTGACCTCAGTTATCCTGAGAGCCAAGTGGATCAAAGCTGGTGACTGTGGTGGCTGAAAGCAGCTAAGCAACACTCATCTGAACTTGGAAATAAAGTACAGGAGAGTATCTAGAAACTGGTGTGACATCAGGCATGGGATAATTCTGAGGCAGATTCTCCTCCGAGAGAAATGGGACTATGGGCTGTTTGGTGATGCTGTAGATTTCTACTATCTGCACGATAACGTCTATTCAGAAATCATGATTAAAAATGCAATCCCCAAACATCATCGGTTTAAGCCATTCTCTGCGAGGACATTGGAAATAAACTATATAGCACAAGGTAACCAATGTACACAAGAGATTCTAGAACATACGTTTATTCTCTTCCCCTGCACCACTCTTCTTTATGGCCATACAATTACAATTAGGATTTTATGTGAATATTGAAAGGGAAAATGGTTTTTGGCTTAAGCTGTAACACTGTACGAGGAGATAACCACATACAATTATGTGAACTGAAAAGCAGCCTTGACACATTCTAGGTGCACAGCACTGGGACTTAAATCACTCAAAAACTGAAAAAAATGTGCACTGTTAATTTTTAACTTGGGCTGTAATAAGCTGTGTAACACAGCTGGGAAATCAAAGCCAGGAGCCACTCCACTGGCTGCACAGCAAAGGCAGGCAGCTGAGCTGGGGCAGCGGGGCCCCACTGTGCCGTGAGAAGTCTGTCCAGCAGTTTGTAAACTGACTTCTTGGATTTAACTTTAACTTCTTGGCTTAACCCGCCTCTTTTAGACAAGGCAAAGGGCAGGCTTACTGTATCTAAGAGGTTGTTGCTGAGATATCTCAACTGAAATCCAATGTGCTCAGGCACTTTCTGTCTGAATTAAGAAGTGGTTTCTTGCCCCAAAGAGTTTATAATGCAACCTGATGATGAGGGGTGGAGGTTGGGGGAGAGCAGCTTTGGAGCTGAATTAATTTGTAGCACCAAGAGCAGGACCCTTCCTTAGTCCCACCCTTTGGCTCACAGAGTCTCCCAGGCTGGTCCCTTCTAGAAAAATCAAAATCCTTCCCTGAAAGCACTTGTTTTGCACAGTTCAAGTGCCTTACGCACCCTCTGTTAGCGGTTTTAAAACACACACATCCTGCCCCCCCCCGCTTATCTTGAATGACGATGAAAGGACTTAATATTCTGATTTTTAGATCAATGCCATACCCACCGTGGGAGCAAAGGAGCAGTAGATACACTCACGTCCCCGACGGCAAGCTGGAGGAGGAAGGAAATTTTGACTAAAGCTGAGATGGAAACCCCCGTGCTCTTTGGTATGTGGCGTGGCTTTAGACAAGAAAAAGTACGTGTGCAACTGCTGTGACTGCAGAAATTAAATTCATGGGCATGAGAACCCAGCTTGGAGGTGGAGTGGGAGTAACTGTATGTAGGCTTACAGCGGTATGGTTATGGGAACGGGCTGCAAACTGCACAGAATAAAAGGAAGTTTAGTTTTAAAATTATGTTGCATAGAGATGTCATCATTCCTCCATTTTTCTTTGCTCATTTGTAGCCTCTTGGGAGCACGGATGTCTCCTACACGTCTGGACAGTGCCTAGCCCAATCCAGATGCTCAAACCTGCAACACTCTGATCTGGTAAACTCCCCAGACAAGAAGTAATTGTTATTAGTTCTTTGCTGACTTTATGATATACCTCTTATAGCACTGTAGCTCCTCTTGCACCACAAGAAGCTGAGCTTTCAGCTGGTTACGCTCTTGCAATACATCTCGCAGCTCCTGTAATGTGAACCGGGGGCGACTGGGATCTGTGAGGTCTATTACCATTTTATCTGGTCCAAGGCTGAGCTGAAAAATAAATGGTGGCAGTCATGATCTTGTAACCTGTCAAAACCAGAGCACTCACAGTAAAAAAATCTGAGTTTTACAAATATTTAGTAATTCTTAGAAGGACTTCATCACAATGCTGATTTTTTTTTTCAAGCAGTTAATTATACTTTTTCATCTTACTTTTGGATTCCCTTAGTGTCAGCATTTCCCAGCCAAATATAGGGCCTAACTGTGACAGGCTCTGACCACAGGTGAAAGCAAAGTCTCTGTCCCAAAGAGTTTGCAATCTAGTTTGCAAGAAGCTGCTTTTAGCTGCTTTTCTGCTGATGAGAGAAGCTGAGCAATCTGTCACACCAAAACTCTGTGGCAGAGAGGTGAGAATGGCATTTTCCCTTTTAAAATTAAGACCTTTGTGGTAAGGGCTTTTTTTTGGTCACAGACATCAGTTCCTCTTGCACAGAGTAACAAAGCTTTAGCATTTGCGTAAAGGGCAAGTTGCCTTTATGGGACCGGTGCTATGTAAGAGCTGTACGACGGTGGGTTTGTGCTCTGTGAAAATCTGGCTGCCCACGTCCGAAGTCCTCGCCCAGCACTGCGCGTTGCTCAGAGCGTGGCTGGTCGCTGCAGCCAAACGGGAGTGAGGAGCCACAGCCCCGAGGATCAGGGAACGGCTTCAAGGCCACCTACAACGAGGAGAAGCCAATTCTCTGAGACTCCTGCTGCTGTGATAAAAGAAACTGGTGACTGCGGCACAAGCCTCCTCAGACCCACCTGGCCTCGGGGTGGGTTTCACACCCCGCGTGTGGCCAGGCGTGGCCACCACCTGCGTTGGCACATGTGCCACCTCGCAGCGGCCGAGCCGCCCCGGCCACGCTGCGCTGGGCGATGGGCACCCACCTGCTGGGCGCCCCCTCGGGCCCCCTGAGCCCGCAGCTCCTCCACCTCCCGCCGCAGGCTGTCCCGCTCCATCCTCAGCTGCTCCTCCACGAGGCTGCTCTCGCTCACCAGCGCTTCCAGCATCTCCAGCACCCTCACGATCCTGAACTGCAGCCGGGCCAGGGCGGCGGGTACCCGTGGGCCGGCGCTGAGCTGCAGCAGGTCGCGGCCCACCACGGAGGAGATGTCATAGACATC